CTCATTAAAATAATGTCAATGAAAATTAATTTAAAAGATGTTAAAAGTAATCAATGAAGTTTAGAATTTATCTAAATTTGTGTTAACATAAATAAACTGCTGCCTTTACTACACAAACTGCAATATTTAAGCATTATGCTGCAAGCCTTCTGTGATGTGAAACAGTGCCCTGAATAAGTACAGTAAAAACCCACCAATAAGAATCTGTGGAATCACACAGGAATCAGTAGCTGTGGTATAGGTTCTTATTTGGAAAATAATTTGCACTGCATTGAACGCAAAAAAAACCTGAAATTAATCTTACCTTTCTGACATAATTACCTGAACATGTTTTTCAAACAAGAGAACACTAAACCCATTTGGAGCAGCAACAATCCCATTAGGCACTACATACAAAATTACCTGTTTAGGCTAATTTTGAAAAATCCAGGTTCTTGTAGGTGGGTTTGTACTGTATTGTTGAGAGCATAGTTTGGTATTTGTGTCACAAATCTTTTCTCTACACTCACTGCACATTTATTCATTGTTGTTTTTCTACTGTTTGTTTTCCTTCCCTTGTACAATAATGTACAGTAAAATGTCACTGTGCAAGGGAGGAAAGAGACTGCTAACTTTGTCACAGCTCTCTGCTGACATGATAGTTTCTCCGTAGACCTATGGAACAAGCTTTGTCGCCAAGAGAACCAAGAGAGGTATCCCGAGGGAGCATAGGAGGCAGTGGACAAGGGTTAGTCGAGTCTTACTGTACACTACCTTGCATTAGTCGGGGCTACGTCTTAATGAGTGAAGTCAGTATGCTAGTCATTTCTATTTAGAAGAGAGCTTAACTCTTATGTTATTGCTTTTGACTGTCTTCTGTGTATCTGGTGTGAGGTGATGCAGTGTATAGGTGAACAGCTCCCGTCTGTCCTTACTGAAATGGTTAATTAATATCTTGAAGCTTTGTCTACACTATAGAGTCTCGAAAAACAGTCTGGCTTGAAATTTGACGAAAGTGGCGTTTATCATCCAAGCAGTTGTTTTCAGTTTGTTTTTAGTGATTTTCGGAACTAAAAACAGGCTTGAGTTATTGAAGTGAATAATTGAATTCTGTGTGTACAGAAGGTATTTAGCGTTTTCAAAGAAAATCAGATGAGCGTCATTGTCAGAAAATCTGGGGGAGGGGTGGTTAAGGCGAGGGAAAATGACTTTATGGAATGTTCTTTCTGTTAATTGTTGTACATGCAAGGGGACGATCGAGAGGGGAGGGGTGGGGACGCGTGAATTTGGGGTAGAGCAGTTAGGGGTGCGTGGGTTTGTAACTGAAAAATATCCAAAAACAATAAATCATTGAACTTATTTCTGTCCACATCGTCCGTACATGCAGACGTAAACGTTCTCTCTGGACCACTTAATGGCGCTTTTAATTTTTGCAATTCATACGCAAAGCCTTTCTTGACGACATCAGACAACATGTAATGTTCAGACCACGGTACAAATGCGCCTTGTATTCAGCGCCAAATATATTTCAAAAGCTGAATCAGGGAAGAGAATTGTGCTGCAACGGCGGGAAAAACGCAGTGAGTCGTCAACTTGGAGTTGATATGGTAGATGAACCCTGGCCTTAGATTTGTGTAGTTGATGTTTTGAGTGAGGCTGTCGCTCAAAACATCTGCTGCGAAGGAAGGCGATACCTTGTCAACTCCAACGTTGATGTTGAACTCGTTACTTTATCATAGTTTGCTTCTTTGGCTGAATTTAAAATCAGGAAGTTGTACTGTTCCGTGCCAGGATAACTAATCAAAACTTTGTTTTCGTTTCATAATAATTCAATAAAGCAAATAAAGTTAATATCCTGCTGAATGAATGTCTTAAAAATGGTCGTGTATTGTGTAACTCAATCAGTTTGTTTTGAAACAGCAAGTGCTATAAGTGGTATATTTCAAGTACTTGCCCTCGAATGATAAAATGTCAGATTGTATAACTCGTTTTCTTGTGTCATTTAATTCAATTTATGTTATTTTAACTTTTGTGCCTTTCGTTAAATATGTCGTTATGTATCTTGGCCAGGTTTTTGGTCTAAACATGGACTACATATTGGTTTCGTATTTCGTATGCTAGCGAAACCTGATTTCTTTTTGAAAGTTTGCTTTTAACTTAAACAAGGGTGCCAAGTAAAAAGATTTAAACAGAAATTAGTTTTTAGATAAAGAGCTTGTAAGCTGTATTTAAACGTGAACGGATGTAATATGTCTTAGGTACAGTAAAAATAAAATACGTGATAAATCTTTCAATAAAAACTGCTTAAACTGACCGCCTTTGTTAAGCTTGGAACTCGGAGAAGGCTTTTTACTGCATGACGTTACAAAAAGAGCATGTTTCAAACTCCACTAGCCGGCGCCAATAGCACCTTGTGACAAAACCCTCCCAGGGAGAGGGGCACGGTAAGTTGTTTTACTTCCCAGCATTCCTCAGTGCTACGCACGAAGTGACGTCATGTGGTACCTTCTCTGGGTTGGCTCCTGGATGGAACAGTGCAGCTTGGAAACGCGTCAGCTCCAGACCCCTCGCTGAGAAAACTCGTTTAATTTGATTGCGCATGGTTACGATCCTTGAAAGTTTCAAGGACGTTTTTGTTTTTTTTGGCCGTGACTTCTTTGCATTGTGGTTTTTCAACGTGAAATAACATTCGTTTTTTCTTGTGTGGTCTTCTGATTGTAATAACGCCTAATCAACGATTTTGTTGTCCCACGTAATTTGTGAATTTCTGGCGCCGTGTTTAACGTACTAAGGTTAATGTGTTTACATACAGAGCGTAAGACCTGCCGATTGAGTACTATAACACTGGATTAATAGCTGATCTAATGAAAACTGATGTGGACTAATTCTTTCATTTCTTGATGTAATAACTTGGCAGGTTAACTGAGGACTGGGACTCACCGTATAACATTGTTTAACATGAACTGTTGGGTTCACACTTCGTGCTCATTTAATACATGTCGTCTTTGTGTCTCACATCTTCATATTTTTTAGTCGTTTCAATTTTGAGTCGCGTGGTATCCGTGCGTTGGCTTCTCACTTTTATTGCACTCACCCACGTGATCACTCACCACTCCGCCATATTGTGTTCTGTTGGCTTGCTGATTTCTCTTTTTGGGACCATTTCAGATTAGTCCACATGTGATTTCATCAGCTATTAATGAACAGAAATTTGCACTTATTGTTTTTGTTATTTCAGTTTGTTTCCATTTGTCACGATTGTATTTTGCAAGTGCATGCATCACCTGATTATGCGAGTCCACTGCGTCGGCGTTAGCAGTGAAACGAGTCATTATACTTCGTGAATGGCCGAAAGCTAACCGATTGTCTTCCACTGCTTTCGACCTTTTTTTAAGAGAGTAGTAGCTACGTAAAAACACTTTTTCGAAAGCCGAAAGCTTGATGGACCTAGTAGAGGATCAAAATAGTCAGTCGTTGAATGATTCACCTGTTAGAATTGAAGTTTTTTTGCCAAGAGTTAGTGTCATTGCTCGCTGCTCGGGTAATGCATGCAATCTGTTTCCACTTCTGATTATTTTAGTTTATTTGTTGTTGTTTGCACCCCGTAGCCACCAGCACTACTCGAATTCTGTTTGTTTTGTCATTGAAAGCACAGTGTAAGGAAGTCACGGCTTATTGCCGCTATTACTAAGTCAGTGTACAATTCATTGTGGCTTACATGGCGAGGGGTCTGACGAGCTGTGTTGTTGCGTTCAAGGGCCCGAGGAGCTAGTTCATCCGGGGCAAAGTCCGTGTATCCGGACCCAAAGGCCCGTTCGAGCCCCAGGCGCAAATCTCTGCGAGGAACATTTGCTAGGCTCTCGCTCAGAAAGCACAAAAGAAGGCAGGTGTTGGCAAATCTGCGCCTGCGCAGTTGGACCAATCTCTGGCTAGTGCCAGTCTGTTATTTTTTCTCTTTTCGCGCATGCGCCCTGGACCGTGGTGAACTGAACTTAGCACTTGATTGGTTCAACGGTGTTGGCGCCTTGTTGTTTGAATTCAGTCTTCTTTCCACCAAACAGCCGCTAGAGTTGATTTCAGATGCTATTCAATACCTAAACCTAGGATGTGATTGGTTTAATG